AGCACGTGCAAGACGAGTTGAATATTGATTGTACTTGGAGAAGAAGTATACGATTGTTGATGAAGTGTATCCACAAGGAAGACTGGTTTTCCGCAGCTTAGGAAGAATGAGAGGTTAGTGAAGAACCGAAGGACGTTAAGGAAGAGTTCGGTGGAGGTGTGTGTGAAAAAACCGGTTGAAAGTACTGAAGATAATCGGTTAAAAGAACAAGTTGTGCAGATAGGTAGATACAGAGAGAAGAAGAAGAAGAATGCAAGGGCTCTTGTAAGAAGTTGAGAGAGGACAGTGAGAGAAAACAGTCTGAGATAATCCCAATGAATGCAGAAATGAAGAAGAAGAAGAAGAAGAAGAAGAAGAAGAAGAAGTAGAGCGAGAGCAGTATATTGATGGTAAGTTGTTGGGAGCAAAATGTCGATTCTCCCTATGTGTGGTAAACGATTTTTCGATTTTTTCAACTTTCTGTGGTGGAGAGGAAATAAGAAAGAGAATGTAAAGAAAACATTGGGAAACTCAAATTCGACAGGAATGTATAGTTTTGAAGTGGCTGTGAAAGAAGAATGGTGTACGAATAAGAATGAAGCCAGCTTAAGTATGAGTGGTAAGAAGACGATGAATAGTGAATATATGAGTGAAGACAGTATGGAAAAGATAGTTAGTGATGACAAAGAAGACCTGAAGGTGTCCCGCATTGACAGGGAGAGGAAGCGAGATTGCGATTAATCAGAGAGGACAAATACCGTCCAACAGAAGAATATCCCGCCGTATAAGAAGGTTCATTCTGAAATGTCGGATAAGAATGCGAATTTGGATACACCACTTGATTTGGTGGATGAGGGATGGATTTGTAGTAAATTGAGCCCAATTCGATCCGACAGTATATTTGCCTTCCCATCTGGGAAATTGAACACCGATTTTTCTGCTTTGTCTTATCTTTGGGAAGAGAGAGGAAATGGGTGGGAGAGTTGCAGGATGCGATGGTAGTACTGGAATTCGTTGGAAATGCCCACTTTTGGAAGAGACATGGTACCACACATGCTGACATGGAAGCATCCTCTAGAAGGAAAGAAAGAAGGGAAGAAGGAAAGAAGGAAAGAAGGAAAGAGTCTATAGAGGATCTGGCGCTGTTGTTTACTCCAGCCAAGACAGAGAGAAGGAGGCGAGGTACAGTGCCATATAGAATGATTGAGAGTGGGTAGAGAAGAGTACAAGAAGCTGAAACCAATTCTGGAAGCCAAGAAAGAGAAAGAACGAAGAACGAAGAAAGAAGAAGAAGCAAGAGGCGAGAATGAAGGAGGTTGATCTAGAAACCAAGGCATCGGATAAGAAATCACAGACAGAGGGAAAGGGAGAAAAAGGTACTTGCATTGTTTCTACGACTGCTTCGACGACTGCTAATTCGACGTTTTCGACTGCGGAATTTGGTGACGCGTGTCAAGTTTCTACTCATATCGCTGTGGACAGCCGATTTCGCCCATATCTATTGTGTAAGGACCCGGTGGATGTGAGAGGCTCGCTACGTGGCTTTGGTGATTGCAGTGTTATTCCGAGAGGATCCTTGGGACGGAGGGTCATTCAAAGAATTTATTGTGCGGACTGGAGAGATATTGTTAAGGGTTCGATGAGAAATGGTTTTGGCTCTGTGTGTACTTCATCTGGGGAGAATCATGGTTCGGATAGCCTTGGGAAGGACAATTGGGTCCCGAACACAGGAAGGAAGGACTATGAGGAAATCCAGGCACCAGGTAATGGTCATGGGAAATTCTTTGGGGAGAGGAGTGAGTTGGTTGGTTGTGAGGAACTAGCAAAGTTTTTGCAAAGCACTCACTATGATCGGCTTACTCTTTTTGGTATTTGGCGCAAAGGGATAGCAAGCAGACCCAAGAGGTCGGCTACTGGGAAGAAGTCCAAGGCCGGAAGGTACGGACGTAACAGGCGGTCAACGGGCCGCTCAAGATCTCCTGCAGGTCAATGAATTGTTTGTTTGTTTGTTTGTTTGTTAACCCATTTGTGTTGTTTGGAAGAGAAATCGATGAGATCGATGAAGTATATGTTTCATTTGAATCCACTAATGATCATTCGAGTAGCGCCTTTTCGTTTTGCTGGTTTCCATAGTTCCTTGATCTCATTCATAAATGAATCGCTTTATTCAATGGTTGAAAGGGATATGGAAATTGATGAGTAAGAGGAAGAACCACAAACTAGTGGTGGACTCGAAATGCAAGGACAGATGTCACTGCCTGTGCTTGTATAACGAGAAGAATGAATCAAGTGACGACAGTGGAAGTGACATCACGATCAGTCCAACAGAGATTAAAGTGAAATAATGTATTCATAAATAGAAATGAACTGCTGGATGACTGAAGAACGACGTGAAATTGTCTGGCGATACATATTCGACATGATCAACTCGTTTATCGATAATCTAGTGACTGGAATGATGTTATCTGGATACGACACTTCAGACGGTTTTGTTCTATTCACCCGACTTCCAGAAATTACT